TTGGATCTGATATTGGACGCCATGATGAGTGGCAAAACTAGAACGATATGTTCTTCCGACCACAAACGTTTGATTTCTAAAGGTCAGCAAGGTACTCATCAACCTCACTATTCGACTGGGGTGAGACGGGTGGAGATTATACAATTAAAAATGAATAGTTGGCATTTCTACCAAATCAAAAATAATGCATCAAAAATTAAATGAGTATACAGACTAATTTAAATGTTGTGAATGACTTCATAATGTGAATGACTACATTCAAGTGTATATCGCCACCTACGCCCCCAAAACATCCTCCGTGGAAGTTCCCATACCTGGAAAATGTAATGATGGTGCGACGAGCGAACGACTTAATGTTAGACTGTACATTTCCTAGATAGATAGACCAATGCAAGTAGCATTTTAAAGACCTACAATTTGATATCCACAATTCGTCTATTAAAGTGAACTGTACTGCACACAAATGCACCGACAAAATCAACACATTCCGCATTAAGGAATGAATATGAAAGTAATGTCTGAAGACGTTAAGAAAAAACAATGACAATTTTCGAATATTCGGTTTCAAAATTAATCACTTGATATACTTACATTTATACTCTCTTTTCTGATTCGGTCTAGTGATGTGCGTACTTCAACGTATACTCATTAAGATTTGTTCCCCCGACTCTAAATACGGCGGTATTTGCCGGTGGACATTCGGGTTGACGGCGAGGTCCTCAAACTGAGAACCTTTTATTTCTTCTTGTGGCAGCATCGGCACAGAATGCGAAGAAACGCTTCCTTGAACACAGGGTTGCAAATGGCGTAAAGGAAAGGATTGGTGGCGCTACTCAGGTGAATCACATAGCCAACAAACTGCAAAGGAACAGTGAACAATAAGTACAACGCGTCCCAAAATACCCGCAACAATGTTTTTGCAAAGCTCTAGCGTGCCGCGGAAACACATAGGCCTACCGCATTATTTTTTTTTATATCATTTACAGCTTGGAATCTTAACTTTATCCCTTGTATGTTCGGTTTGATTGTAAAAAGTGTTTTATTTTGGGACGCGCTGTATACTCATCCGCACAGTAAACAGAGAGGCTGTTGGCATGGCTTCGCAAACTCTCTGACGACTTTGAAATTAGGCCTACATGTAAAATTAAATTTCAATTTCAAAACGAAAACATATCGGACGTGTGGTTTCGAATTTCGTAACTAGGTTGTCATTGAAGCCTTTTGACAGTGTGCTGAGGGAATTTTTGTGAATTTCATAGTCTTTCATAAAATTATGGCGTCAGATAGTGAGCTGAAACAATTCCTCATAATGTCCGTATTACAAAAAACTTATTGCAATCTTTGCAAAAATCAATGGGCCTATTATAGCTTCATTTGGTTTGTTGTTATTTTTCCTGAGCTATGTCACTGACTGACTGAGTGACTAACTGACCCACTCCCCGACTGACCCACGGACTAACTAACAGACTGCCCCACTGACTGACTGACCCACGGACTCCCCGACAGACCGACCCACTGACTGACTGACCCACGGACTCCCCGACAGACTGACCCACTGACTCCCTCCCCCACGGACTCACCGACAGACCGACCCACTGACTGACTGACCCACGGACCCCGACAGACCGACCCACTGACTGACTGACCTACGGACTCCCCGACAGACTGACCCACTGACTGACTGCCCCACGGACTCACCGACAGACCGACCCACTGACTGACTGACCCACGGACTCCCCGACAGACTGTCCAACTGACTGACTCCCCCACGGACTCACTGACAGACCAACCCACTGACAGACTGACCCACGGACTCACCGACAGACTCACTGACAGACTGACCCACGGACTCCCCGACAGACTGACCCACTGACTGACTGACAGACTGACCCACTGACTCCCCGACCCACGGACTCCCCAACAATCTGACCCACTGACTGACTGACCCACGGACTCCCCGACAGACCGACCCACTGACTGACTGTTACTTGTGATTTAGACTGGTTGTATGCTGGTGAAGAGAGGCAGTGCTATCGTATGGGATACCTGAATGTACTAACTCTGGTTCATTGTGTAAACCAGATGCATTACAGGATTTCGAGTGAATAGCAGTGCTGAATCAATATAGAATTGTATGCGCTATACGCGCCCAGTTTTAGTCTCTAGCCTAGCGTAAGTGTAGTACAGGGTGAGTAAAAAAAACCGAAACCATAATGTCGGGACTATTGTTTTAGTGAAGTTCTGCATGTAGCACTTTTTAAATCTGAGATATGAAAACCCAATTCACAAGCTTTCCTTTTAGTACACGAATCATTCAAATCACCCATCACAACCACCGTTTTAAAATTCTGTCCACGGATCACAAAAAAAAGGTGTGCGTTCTTTCAGCAAAACGAAAACAATTCACACACACATCCCTTTGTGATATGTTTTCGTTTTGCTGATCTAAAAGAACACTCACTTTTTGTGATCCGTGGACAGAACTTGACAATTACATGAGTGATTTGAATGATTCTTGCACTCAGTGAAAGTTATTCAATGAAAGTTATTAAACTCGGGCTTTCATATCATAGATTTTGAAAGTGCTACATGCAGAATCTCACTAAAACAATGGTCCCGACATTTGGTGTTTTTTTTTTTACTCACCCTGTAGTAGTAAATATCTCATTTATGTATACTGAATCAATATGACATCTTTTTTGCAATTGGAGCTTAATACTTCACTCTAATAAAACGTAGAAAGACAAAAACCTACCCAAATTACTGTAGGATATCGCGGGATACTTGTGAACGTCACAACGAGGGAGTAGAAGAACCAGGGTGTGCCCGAGATGACCATGACTACGATGATGTAGGCCAGGGTACGGGTGGCGCGCCGGCTGCTCGTCAGGCGCTTCTGGTGATGATGCGAGCAGTGGGAGGTTCCGCGGGACAGCCGATATTTGGTGGCGGTCGCCTGCCGTCCATCACTCAGGGCGATCTCCTCGTTGCCTTGGTCGGTGCGCCCCTCCGTCTCCGCTCCGTTCTCTGTAGGCCCTGTTAATAACAATAATTATTATGATTAATTTACTCTCTATTTCCAAATAGTGAACATTAGATTAAAAAAATTACTCCCTCCTACTTAAACTTAGTCTGAGTATCACCCGTTATCCACGGATCCCAGTCTCCTGTAAACGTCTGATATATCTAAGCATGCAGATTTATGCGATCCTACGCCTCTGCCAATCGGAGTCGATTTAAGTAAATCGTGACGTCATTTCATTCCCAAATCAGGACTAAATGGTTGATTGGTCAAATCGAATGCAGTGTTTTGTAATATAGATCGATAAAACCTAGACAATATTACGCGTAAAACGGGTGAATGACCGTAGACCCGATATAGAAAGCGCCCACGGATTGGTCAAAATCTAGAGATCAAGAAGCGGTTGTCTTGTATAATTAATTAGCGAATCTGCTCACATATCATAGAC